ACTACAAACAAACTACCATATGACCCAGCAATCCCACTACTGGGCATATACCCTGAGAAAACCATAATTCAAAAAGAGTCATGTACCAAAATGTTCATTGCATTTCTATTTACAATAGCCCAGAGATGGAAACAACCTAATTGTCCATCATCAGATGAATGGATAAAGAAGAAGTGGCACATATATACAATGGAATATTACTCAGCCATAAAAAGAGACGAAATTGAGTATTTGTAGTGAGGTGGATGGACCTAGAGTCTGTCATACAGAGTGAAGTAAGTCAGAAAGAGAAAGACAAATACCGTATGCTAACACATATATATGGAATTTAAGGGAAAAAAATATCATGAAGCACCTAGGGGTAAGACAGGAATAAAGACACTGACCTACTAGAGAATGGACTTGAGGATATGGGGAGGGGGAAGGGTAAGCTGTGACAAAGCGAGAGAGAGGCATGGACATATATACACTACCAAACTTAAGGTAGATAGCTAGTGGGAAGCAGCTGCATAGCACAGGGAGATCAGCTCGATGCTTTGTGACCGCCTGGAGGGGTGGGATAGGGAGTGTGGGAGGGAGGGAGATGCAAGAGGGAAGAGATATGGGAACATATGTATATGTATAACTGATTCACTTTCTTATAAAGCAGAAACTAACACACCATTGTAAAGCAATTATACTCCAATAAAGGTGTAAATAAATAAATAAATAAATAAATAAAAATAAAAGGAGATTCAAATCTATTTTTTAAAAAAAAGATATGGAAGCAACCTAAGTGCCCAAAAATAGGTGACTGAAAAAAGAAGATGTGGTGTATATGTATATATACACATATATACATACAATGGAATATTACTCAGCCATAAAAAGGAATGAAGTATTGCCAATTGCAGCAACATGGTTGGACCTAGAGGGTATTGTGCTAAGTGAAATAAGTCAGACAGAGAAAGACAAATACTGTATGATTTCACTTATATGTGGATTCTAAAAAGCAAAACTAATGAACAAATATAACTAAACAGAAAAAGAGTCACAGATAGAACAAACAGTTAGTTGCCAGAAGGAGGGGTGTGGAGAGAAGAGAGAAACAGGTGAGAGAGATTAAGAGGTACAGCTTCCACTTACAAAATAAATGAGTCACAGTATTAAATGTACAGCATGGGGAATACAGTCAATAACTAAGTAATATCTTTGTATGGTGAGAGATCGTAACTAGACGTGTGGTGATCATTTTGAAATATATAGAAATATTGAATCACTATGTTGTGGAAGAGGAAATAACATGGTATAGTAGGTCAACTATACTTCAAAAAGTAAACAAACTCAGAAAATATCAGATTTGTGGTTACCAGAGTCAGAGGCTTAGGGAGGGGGAACTGGATGAAGATAGGCAAAAGGTATGAACTTCCAATTACAAGATAAGTAAGTGCTAGGGATGTAATATACAACACAATGACTATAGTTAACACTGCTGCATGTTGTATATGAAAGTTGTTGAGAATGAATCCTAAGAGGTCTCTTCACACGGACAATAATTTTTTTCTATTTCTTTAATGTTCTATCTATATGAGATGACAGATGTTCACTAAACTTATTGTGGTAATCGTTTCATGATGTATGTAAGTCAAATTATCATGCTGTACACCTTTAACCTGCACAGTGTTATGTGTCAATTATATCTCAATAAAACTGTAAGTATAAAAAGAAGATAAAATTATGACTGCCATATAGATGTGACATGAATACATATCAAATATTTTATTTAACTCATTAATTACAGGAAACCTATAAGAAAAAGAAACCACACATATATGGGCAATTAGAAATGTTGAACTGAATTGAAAAATCAGTGTAAAACTGGACAATTCATTCCATCAGACACACTTCAAATGTATTTCTTGGGATGAGAATCATTTGCATTGTCATCAGTTTTCAGATCAGTTGTAAACAATGAGAAGATATAGATAACCTAGGAGGGCTTCATACATAGTTTTCTACAGAAAACACCAGTCATCTTTTTGGTCCATTTAGCCTTTCACAATTTTTCTCTCCTCCTCTCCTCTACCTTTGTGGCAGGCAGCCTCTGACATGCCCCCAGTGATCCACTCCAGGTGTTCACACCCTTGTGTGATCCCAACCCCTTCAGTATGGGCCCATACAGCAAAAGTGATGGGGAGTTACATCTGTGATTAGGTTATTAAAAAACTGTCTCTCATGCTTGCCCCGATGGAGCAGCCCTCCTGGCAAGAGACTGCGAACCTCAGTCCATCTGCCCGGGGGGAACTGAGCCCAGCCAACAATCACACAGACGAGTTTGGAAGCAGACCTTGCCCACTTGAACCGTGGTCAGCCAGCCCCAGCTGACCACTTGTTCTCAGCCTGTAAAAGACCCTGAGCAGAGGATCCAGCTAAGCCATGCCCAGATTACTGACTCACAAAACTGTGAGAAAATAAACATGTGTTGTTTTAAGATGCTGAATTTTGGAGTTTGTTGCATGGCACTAGATAACTTAACACACTCTTCCTTCCTGCTTTTCTGTGTACCCATACCCTGATTTTAATAGCTCTAAGAAAATACTTACTAACCAGTTTGTACACAGGTGATGTAACTGATCTGATTTCTATTTTTATTATCTTTTGGATTTACATTAGCTGCATTTTAGAAGTAGCATTCACTCAAAACAGGTCAGGAAAGTGATCTAATGCTGGAAAGATTCTTGCAGAAAATCTGGAAATTTTTCCCACAAAAAATGTGAGAGAACTATGCTCAAGAAAACCCAGTATTCGTGAATTCCACATTCACAAGATAAAATCATTTTAAACTCACCTCCACTTCGTGAGGAATGAGCCAAAATTCTGGTCCACAGGAGCCCAGAAGCTCTGCCCAGCTGCCCCACTGGAGTAGGGGTTCAGGGAGTCTGCCTTGCTGTCGCCCTGCTGTGGCCTATGGTTGCTGGTGTTGAGTCCCACCAGCCCCGGCCCTCCCAAGCCAGCACTCATGGGAGCTGATGTCTGATGTATCTCCATCTCCAGCACACCAGAAGTCAGCCTGCCATCTTTGTTCTCGAGGTGCATGTTTCTGTTGCCACTCTTCTCACTAGAGTCAGCCAGAAAGAAACCACTGTTGATAAAAAGCAAACTGTGAATATCATTTTTATCTTGGGGAGTTCGTACTACTGAATTGTACAGTAGAAACACTTCTTATAACAAGGCCCTTTCCATGTCTCAGCATCTAATATCATATGGAAAAAAGTGTATGTTCATCTCCAAGAATGAATATTTTAGCACATTTCACACTAGCAGTGACCTAACTATTCAACAACAGAGTATTAGTTAGGTAAATTGTGATAGGTGCATAGTAGGAAATACTATGCAAACATAAACATCCTCTAGAGATACTGACATTGGGAAATGTTTAAAATATGGTAAAAACCATTGATACACTGGGATATATCTCTTGAAATAAATATGTACCTAGAATATACATAGAACAGAAAACCAAAAAGACACAGCCTCTAAAGTATGGCTACCTTTGTGTGGTGGAGGTACAGATGATTCAGGCTTTCTTCTTTGTCTTTGTCTAGGCTACAGCTTTAATGATATTTGCATCTAGAAAATTAATACTCTTGCAATGAAAAAATAATAATACCTATGACAAAAATGAGAAAAATCACTATACTTGCAAGGTTATAGTGTCCTGCTTTTGGGATTATGTTTTAACCTGTTACCATTTTATTTGTTTACAGTTGGGTGAAGTGAGTACAATTCATGGGTCCACCACTCCTTGTCACCCAATTCACAGAGGCTCGCAATGCCCCATGATCACAAATTCTGGAGGACCCAGGATGTGTGGGAGTCCAAGCAGGTACAAGGTCAGTGTGTTATGTCTACAACTGAGTAAGTGGGGGTGGGGGGCGCTCACAGCTCAAAAGCCCACACTTTCTGATGGAACAAGAATTTACTTTAAATACAGAAAGGCAACAGCTTTTGAAGAAACCCAAATGACCAAGGAAGTCCTACTATTTTCTTATTGCTATGATTTCCCTACTTTAACCCATCACTTACATTGAAAAGATGATTTACTCATCAGTAAGAAGACGGCAGAGAGTGTTGATAGAATGTACTTGTATCAAAAGACAAAACAAAAATATTAGAGTTAGTTTCACGCAATGTTTCCATTACCTGGTAAGAATAAACTCCATATGCACATTTGAACTGCACGAAAATACAACTTGTATGACCTCCGTGATTCCACCTACAAGTTAAATGCTCTCATATTTGTATTTTAAACTGGTGTTGCACAATATACAGATGAACAATAAAATGTATGCTAATAATTTAAATTTTTAATTTTTCTTTACTTAGAATAGTAATTTAAAACACCACGACAAGTCAAGAGACCGTGGAAGAAAAGAAAATCTTTCATATTGTAGAACTGTTAACGGCACTTTTTCCTGCTTTTTGAACAAGGGACCCCACATTTTCATCACACACTGGGTCCCACTCTCTCCCTTTAACAGAGTTATCCTCTTAGCTCTCCACTGCCATCTTCTCCCCTCCCTAATGTACTCCAGCTGCCATTGGAATACACCACCCAACCTTTACTACACTGACTACTGTCTTCCTGGCCAGGTCCCACCTTCATTCTTCAATGATTTGGGCCCCAGCTTATGGTCGCTCTCTCTCTCTCCCCATCCCTCCCACCTACTGCTACACTTGCTGTTATTTTTTGGTTTCACCATCTACACCCTGGGCTCTCAGTTTTGTGAGTGCCTCTCCAGCACTTGCCTGCTCCCATGTCAGCCAACACGTCCTCACTCCCCTTTCCCAGTTGAGATTCTGTGGTCCAGCAAACACCCTCCTTTTACTTGCCTCCTCTTACATTCTGCCAAGTTCACCAGATATATGAGTTTTCTATTACTGCATAATAAATTACCACAAAATAAGTAGCTTAAAATAATACACATTTATAATCTCAGAGTTTTGGTGGCTCAGGGGTCGCTGGGGCAGGCTTAGGTCGGTCTTCTGCTTAGGCTCTCAAGTGTCATTGTGCTGGGAATCAGCTTCCAAGATCATTCAGTGCTGACAGAATTCACTTCCCAGTGGCTGCACGACTGAGGACCCAGCTGCTCGCTGGTTGTCAGCTGGAGGCCACCCTCACTTCCTACAGGCTTCCTGCAGCTCTTTGCCATGTGAACCCCAACAGGTCTGTTCACTTCATCAAGGAACAGCAAGAGTCTCCAGAGTGAGTCAACTAACAAGGAAGAATTTCATGTAATGTAGCCGTCAAAGAGTAACATCCCATCCATCACCCTTGCCATATTCTATTGGTTGGAAGCCAGTTAAAGGTCCCACCCTCACTCCAGGGCAGGGGATCATCACACAAGAGTGTGAACACCAGACTGGGGATCATGGGAGCCACCCTGGAGTCTATCTGTCACGTGGCAAGACCCCAAGCTTGACTTGCCCACTCTGAGCCTCCGCTTAAGTGGCTGAATGTGGCCAAGGAGAACCTTGGGTGCTGCTGCTGGTCTCACCTGGCCTCCACATGCAGGGTTCTCAGTGGGCCCCAGCACTGCCCAGCAATCCTACTGCATCTCCCAAGTCAATTTTCACTCCTGCTCTCCTCCATCTCCCTCCCTAAATCCCTATATACCTTCCCTCCTTTCTAGTCTCAGCTAGTGACTTTGTCTATTTCTTCCTTCACTGATGCAATCATCCAGCGTCCAAGAAGGAAATGGAAGCTGCTCTGAGTATACAACCACAGAAGCTGGTTACATGGGAGGTAGACATGTTGAGAAGCTAACCAGAGGCTGAAGTACCCAGCCTTCCAAGGACTCGCTTGCCTGCAGCCCTACTGGATACAGTGGAGCCCACCCACTCTCACCTGTTCAGACTGCTACATTACATTTTTTCCTCCTTCTCTCCAAAATCATTCAGGCTAGCATGCAAATATACTATCAATACTAAAAAAGTACATCTCAGGACTTGTGCTCCCAGGAACATAGAGTAGAATTACTTTTCCCTCTTCTTCCTGCTAAATACAATGAAAAACCTGACATTTTATATAAAACAACCATAAGAAGACTCTGAAAGGTGGACAGAAGTTGGCAAACAAGTTAGGGACCCAAGAAATGACACAGCAGTGAGGCTGTCCTTGGATTTTTATCATGTCTCATATATCCCAGACAGGGTGCTGAAGATGTCAGCAACCTGGAAACACCAACAGATGTAGACCAAAAAAGCCCCAAGAAAAGCCTGCCCACTCTAGCCAAAGGAATATGAATGTGGCAGCCTAGTAGGATAGAAAACTTTTAGACACTACTCTACTGAAGCAAAACACTGTAGACCCACATTTATCCAGACAGCAAAGGCCAAATGGTGATCCTAAACTTCTAGCCTCACCAGGCTGTAATAAGGGGCCCAGTCCCCCATTCCCACTGAGGTGGTCAGAGAAGGAAAATAGGGAGCTGGGACATTCATCTCTGCTGGGTGCTAGGGAGTCCAACCTCCTCCTTATGCACACCCCCCACCATGTAGGTGGAGACCAAGAGTGGGGAACCTGAACTTCAGCCCCACCTTGCAGTAAGAGAAACACCTCCTTGGTGAGGTGTCAGAGCAGGCCAAGTAGACAGAACATTCACCACTGCAGTAGTGAGGCCATGTCACAACTGTGTCCCTGGAGGCCACATGAGGAGCAGTAATGAGGTAACCTTATCCCTCCCATCCAGGAAGGTATCAGCAGAGGCCCAGTAGGGAGCCAGATCTCCCACACCACCACCCAGAAGTAACAAGGAATCCTTCCCTACCATGATATCAACTGAGGCCAAGTGGGGAACTTGGATTTCTAATCCCACCTGGCAGCAATGAGGCAGTACTAGGCCCTTCTGCTGGAGCGGCGTCAGAGGAAACCAGCTAAACAGAAAGTTTAAATAGGAATTAGAGCCTCATAATACTTGAAATGTGCAAGTTTCAATCAAAATCCCCTGTTACACTGATAACCAAGGAAATATCAACTTGAAAGAAAATAGATGACAACACTAAGACGATAGGGATGTTGGAATTATCTGACAAAGAGTTTTAAGACAGCCAAAATGAAAATGGTTCAACAGGCAATAACAGAGACACTTGGAACAAATGAAAAACTAGAAAGTCTCAGCAAAGAAATAGAAAGCCTCAACAAAGAAGAGCCAAATGGAACTGAAAAACACAATAGCAAAACTAAAAATTCAGTAGATGGCTAAATAGCAAAATGGAGGAAACAGAAAAGAACCAATGAGCTGGGAGTTAGAACAATAGAAATTACCTAATACAAACAAAAGAGGAAAAAAATTAACAGACCCTCAGAGACCTGTGGGACTATAACAAAAGATATAATCTTCATGTAATGAGAATCCCAGAAGGAGAAGAGAAATACTATGCAGTTGAAAAAGTGTTTGAAGAAATAATGGCTGAAAACTCCCCAAATTGGACAAAACACATATATCTACACATCAAAGAAGCTTAGTAAAACCCAAAGAAGATAAACCCAAAGAAACCTACACCAAGATATACTGTAGTCAAACTTTTGAAAACTAAAGACAAAGAAAAAGTCTTGAAGCCATCAAGAGAAAAATGAAGATGTACATACAGGGGGAAAAATTCAAATAACAGAAACCAAGGAGGCCAGAAGTGGCACCATGTTTTTCAAGTAATGAAAGGAAGAACTGTCAACCCTGAATCCTTCATCTAGTGAAAATATCCTTCAGGAATGTAGGGGAAATCAAGACCTTAGATGAAAGAAAACAGAGAATTTGTTGTCAGCAGAACTATCCTAAAAGAATAGCCAAAGAAAGTTCTCTAAACAAAACAAGACAGATTAAGAGAAGAAATTTTGGAGCATGAGGAAGGTGAAAAGAATAATGGAAATGGAAAAGTAAGAGCAAATACATTTTCTCTCTCTTTTGGAATTTTCTACATTATGTTTGATTTTTTTTTTTTTTTTTTTGCGTTACGCGGGCTTCTCACTGTTGTGGCCTCTCCCGTTGCGGAGCACAGGCTCCGGACGCACAGGCTCAGCGGCATGGCTCACGGGC